AAAAAAAAAAAAAAAAGAAGAAGAAGAACTACCAGAGGATACCGGGGGCATCATAATCAAGGTTAGAAAATGGCCTCTCAAAGATTAGCTATCGATCTTCAGCAGGGCTGTCCAAAAGCTTTTAGCTCCTCATTCACATGTTCTTGTGTCATTAATCTGTGCTCCGGCTTTCGCATTTTCATGACATTATGGCAGTAGCTTTGAAAGAATTAAAGATACCATGCCACTTTATTTTGCTTCCATTTAACAGCCCATTTATTGAGTGCCTACTGTGTGCCAGACACTGTCTTAAATGCCGTGAGGTTCAAAGACAAAGAAGACTCCGCCCCTGGGCAGCTCACAGTCTAACGGTAGAGCGCAGTCAGACGTCCGCTCAACAGTGCCAGGTTGCATACATAGAGCGCTATTTAGTAGGTACAGACAAAGGAAGCAGCAATGGAAGAAAGAGAGGGCAGGCCATAAAGACAGTCTATAGCAGGAAGGCTTTCTTAAGGAAGTGGCATTTGAACTTGGCTTGGAAGGATGGCGTGCTTTCAACAGACGGCAATGAAAACAGCTCATATTAGGTGCTCAATTAACGTTTGCCGATGGGACTGATGACAGGCACACATAGGAGACATGCTTGAGGATTGGCAAGTTCTCTCATCTCCATCTAACCGCGAGTTCCCCTGAAGGGAACAGTTCTTACTCAGGTACTCTGTGACACACATTAAGGACGTACTTTTGAAAATTAACCTAAAAATGCTGATGTCAAAAGCAATTTTCTCACATAAAATAATGGTAAATGGTAGTCAGTCAAACCTAAGTGAGAATTTAGCCTAGATTGGTTTTGTGAACCCTGGTGCTCCAAGAAGCCTCGGGAGGCACACGTTCAAAATTACTTGCACAACAGGACCAAGGTGTTATTTTGCCTTTTTCACTGGGTGGATATTGGCACCAATGGTGAGTACAAGTGTCACACAGCTGCGGGAAACTAAAAGGCAATTTCACTTGAGGATATCACGGCTGGCCATTAAATTTTTTTTTTCATGGCTGGGGCATCTGGCTAGCTCAGGTAGTGGAGCACGCAATACTTGATCTTGAGATCATGAGTTTGAACTCCGTGGTGGGCATAGAGATTACTTTAAAAAAAAGAGAGAGAGAGTTATGGCTGAAACAGTAAAAATGGCTAGTTGATTAAACTGTAAGTCCTGAGTGTCCTTTAAAAAAATATTCTGGGGGCGCCTGGGTGGCTCAGTGGGTTGAGCCTTTGCCTTTGGCTCGGGTCATGATCCCAGGGTCCTGGGATCGAGCCCCGCATCGAGCTCTCTGCTCAGCAGGGAGCCTGCTTCTCCCTCTCTCTCTGCCTGCCTCTCTGCCTACTTGTGATCCCGCTCTCTGTTAAATAAATAAATAAAATATTTAAAAAAATATATTCTGTGCGTATGGGGCCCCTGGGTGGGCCAGTCAGTTAAGTGTCTGACTTGGTTTCGGCTCAGGTCATGATCTCGGGGTACTGGGATCGAGCCCCGCGTTGGGCTCCCCGCTGGGTGTGGAGTCTTCTTGAGAATCTCTCTCTCTCCCTCTGCCCTTCCTGCTCAGGCTCTCTCCTCCTCCTCTCTCTCTAAAATAAATAAATACATCTTAAAAACAATATTCTGTGAAGTACACATGAGGTGTTTCTGCTGCAAACCATATAAATGTGCGTGTCAAGGAAAAGCACTTGTACGATTATTTGAGCTATGAGCTAAACTGGCCTCATTTTCAGGCAACGCTATTTTTGTTTGAAATAATGACTGACAAATGTGGCTACCCAACCTTGAGCATTTGCTAGACATTTTCTTTGAAAGGAACAAAGAGAGCCCATCAGTTAAAGGAAAAGCTGATAGGATTTGTTGCCAATGATAAAATTTAAACTTTCAAGAGAAAATAAAAATTTTGGAAAACTTTATCTGCCACCATGAGCTTGAGAGCTTCCCAATAGACTTTTCCTAATGAGGTTGGAGGTGAAGTAATTAATGAATGTGGGTTTTTTGAATGTATCATATAATGAAAGGCATTGACATTTGGAAGAGCTGCACAGCTCAGTGAACCAATTTTTGGATGACCCATATATGATGATACAAAATGGGTAAAAGTCCCAAAGTTCAGAACACACCAATGGATTTGAACGTAACAGAACACGAAACATTGATTCATGTGGTTTTCATATTCCACGCTGCAACTAACTTTTCCCACTTGTTGTTTTTATGAAGTATCACTGAAAAACATCCACAGTTATCTGGAAAGGCTACTCAAACACTTTCCTCTTTTTCCCACTACATATCTGTGAGACACTGGCATTTGTACAAATATTCCAATCAAAACAACATGTAACAACAGATTGGATGGAGAAGCAGATATGATAGTCTGGCTACCATATTAAGACGGAATTTAAAGAGATTTGCAAAAATGTAAAACAATGCTGCCCTTCCTTCTAACTATTCTATGTCGGGGAAAAATATATTTCGTTTCCATTAGAAAATTTTATTTATGTTAACACATCATGGGTTTATTACTGTTTAAACTAGTTATTAAATATTTTTTACATTTCTCAGTTATAATTTCTAAGACGGGAAATGTCAATAGATATGACTTGTATAAACAGAAGTTCTCTGGGATTATGAACAAGAGTATAAAGGGTCCCTGAGACCAAAAAGTTGAGAAATCACTAGGCTAGCTGATCCTAGCCTAGGCATCTATATTATACATTTTTTTAAGCTTTTATGTATTTATTTGACACAGGGAGAGAGCTCAAGAGCTTACAGGCAGGGGGGAGGGGCAGGGGGAAGGGGGAGCATCAGGCTCCCTGCTGATCAAGGAGCCTGATGCAGGACTCGATCCCAGGACCTTGGGATCATGACCTGAGCTGAAGGCAGACACAACCAACTGAGCCACCTAATACATTTATTTTTTAAAGATTTTATTTATTCATTTTTTTTTTTTGAGAGAGAGAGAACAGCAAGGGGGAAGAGCAGAAGGAGAGGGAGAAGCAGGTTTCCCAATGAGCAGGGAGTCCAACACGAGCTTGATTCCAGGACCCTGAGATCCTGACCTGCGCCGAAGGCAGACGCTTCCCTGACTGAGCCACCCAGGTGCCCTTATGTTATACATTTAGATGTGTATGATGAGTTGGGGTGGGGAGGGTTGGGGGGGGATACATTAGAGCAGCAGGGTGGAGATGGTACTAGATGGGATACTAGGTACTAGATAGGTGGCTTGGCCAACACCATTAGAGGTTGCTGGACTTTTCTTTCTTTGCTTGAAAAAAGAAACAAACCCATGGCCACATTTCTCTATGGTATATAGCCTGTTCCAAGTAGATCTTGGGGTAGGAGCTAAATCACAGGTGGAGAACATGAAAGTATACTTTGCAGTGACAATGAACATGGATAATGGAAACCATAGAAACCAAGATGTGTCCATATACGCATTTTTTTTCCTGGATACCTCTTGTGTAATCACAGAAATCTCACTTGTGGTAGATCCAGCATCTCGTGTTGGCTGTTTTTTAGAAGTACGAGGGGAGCCCCACTTTTTGGGCTGTAAATGAGTGGTAGGGCAGGGATAGAGGACCCTGGAATGCAGCCGTGGTGAGAGATGGCAGGGGAAATTCATGGGGTCTGAGAACTGCCCTCAGAGACTGTGCTGTGAGCTGGGCTTCTGGGTCAGTGGAGAGATTTGGGGGAGAGAGGTGGGAGTCACTGTACAATTAAAAAGGCATTGGGAGGGCACCTGGGTGGCTCAGTAGGTTAAGCGTCTGCCTTCGGCTTTGGTCATGATCCCAGCATCCTGGGATCCAGCCCCGCATCAGGGTCTGCTCAGCAAGGAGCTTGCTTCCCTCCCTAGCTCTCCCTGCATATGTTCCCTCTCTCGCTGTCTCACTGAAATAAATAAATGAAATCTTAAAAAAAAAAAAGGCATTGACTATGTAACTGAAAAGCCAGACACTGAGGGAAAAAATGGACAGGACTCTTAGTAGGCTTATTATATACAATAAAGCAACATGAATTTCAAACCACCTTATGGAAATTGTGAAAGAGGGAGAGATTTTCAAAGTTTTCCTAGTGGTCATGGCATGGCATGTTGGCCATTAATCATAAGTATGTATTTAAAATGTGTGTAAAATGCCACTGCTGGTCTCTTCATCTGGTGGGAAGCATTTGTTGTTTGAATTCAATGGAAATACCATTGTAGGAGGCTCCCATAGGGATGTTTTCTGACCTTGGTGTCCCCTCAGCCTATAAATATGTTTTGTTGGTCACATCTTAAGTTTCTCATCATTGAGGTTTCCTACCACAGAGGCTTTTGGGGACTTAAATACCACAGTATGGAAAGTCTGATGCAGTACACACTAGCTACTGGGTGGTAGATGTAGCAGGGAGGAGTAGAGAATCATGTCAAATGCTATGGAACGTTCCAGAAGTATAAAACTCTCAAGAACATAAGCAGTGGGGATGCCTGGGTGGCTCAGTTGGTTGGTTTCAGCTCAGGCCATGGTGATCTTAGGGTCATGGGATCGAGCCCCACCTTGGGCTCTGGGCTCAGCAGAGTCTGCTTAAGCTTCTCTTCTTTTCCCTCTCCCTCTGCCCTCCCACCAAATAAATAAATAATATTCTTTTAAAAAAGAATCTAGGGATGCCTGGGTGGCTCAGTTGGTTAAGTGACCAACTCTTGGTTTCAGCTCAGGTCGTGATCTCAGGGTCATGAGATCGAGCCCCACTGGGTTCCACGTTTAGCGCAGTCTGCTTGGGACTCTCTCCCCCCTTCTCTCTGCCCCTCCCTCATGCTCTTGCTCTCTCTCCCTTTCAAGTAAATAAATAAATCTTAAAAAAAAAAAGAATACAAGCAGTTTACACTTACCTACATTGGAAAATTTTTTTTTAAAGATTCTGCTAACTCATTCAACGTTTAATAATGCCTCCTGACACTGTTTTAGACCTCCCCTCAATTGCTGCTACATTTCTGGTCATTTCTTTCAGCTCCTGAGAACCATGTCTGTGCCCAAAGGTAGAGTTCTGGATAAAAACCTTGACGAGGAAGGGCTGGAAAGCGGCGACTGCGGCGACGATGAGGACGAGTGCATCGGGGGCTCCGGGGACGGGGCAATGAAAGTGAGGAACCAGCTCCGCTTCCTTGCAGGTGCGTGTGCGAGCCGGCTGGCAGCCGAGCCGATTCAACACCAGTTCACTTGAACTTTGCAGAAGTCCCCGCTACCTACAATGCCATCAACTCTGCAAGGAAATATTATACTCTGGGGTGGGGGGTGGAAGAGTTTTCAGGTAGTCTTTTTTGTTGTTGTTGTTGTTTTCCCCATCTCTGGACCTGGGTAGATGAAAAAGGTAACTTCCAGTTTTTGTTTTTTATTGTCTAAAACGAACTGACCAAATCAGGTAGCCCTGTTTCCTGTTGGACATTCCTTGGTTCTTCTCAGTTATAAAAAGCCACGCCATCTTGGGGGTCCAGTGAGCAGCAACAATGGGGTAACTTCGGAAGGAAGCATAAGCATACTGCTCTTGTTTCTGTCTTCATACCGTTGCCCATGTGTATTTCCGTGTAGATACCCCTCTTTCGTCCCTTCTTCCAACCCTCCACTGTATGTTACCCAACCCTCCACTGTATGTTAACTCTACTGGAATTAAAACTTAAAATTTGCATTTTCAGTATGCTTCAGTGACAAAAAGCTAGCTTTGGGGGTAGAGCAAACCTGTATTTGCATTCTGGCTCCCTTCCTCCTAGGTCTTCACTCCCTCGTCCGTCAAATGGGGATCAGTACCCCAACTTCATGGGCCTATTGGAGGATTACATCAAGAGGGAAAGTCTGTAAGAATCTAGCCTAGTACCTAGCTCAAACAGGGTGGTCCATAATTGTTAGTTTCCTGGAGCGAAATCTTCCCTACCATCTCAGTCTACACACATCCGCCATCCTCTCTGAATTGCTAAAACAAACTCTGCCACTGCTTTTCAAGAAATAGTCTGCCGTGGCTCCCAAGTTCCATTCCTAGGACATAAGATGATCACGCAGAGGCTGGCATCTTATAATAAGGAAAAATAACAGAACCCAACGTTCTCTGGACATTAACCAGACTCCACGCGCCGTGCCGGAACTTTGCCGACATTGTCTTGTATTGTTTCCACTGTGACCGAGGGGTAGTTATTATTCCCACTTTACAGATGAGAAAACTAATGCTGGAAGAGGTAGAATAATTTGCTTAAGGTCGTGCGGTCACTAAGGGCAGAGTCAAGATTCAGAACCGGCCAGTGAGATTTCAGAGGCCTCTCTCTGAATAACCCTACTCTGATTCTTCTTTCTCTGCTCATCTAGACAATTCTAAAAAGCCTGAACTCTGCTTTGCATTTTGCCACCCAGAACAGCTTTCAGTCATCTAAAGGTTGCCCAGATGAGTTGCCAAAATATTAAGTAGCTCCAGCATCGGTCCTTGGGACACATTGCTTTTCATCCTTCTCCAAAAATGTCCCGACCTACCCCTCCTCTCGCTTTCCTGCCCATAAGCCCATCCCTATCCATTTGAAAATGCTACGCCACAATTCCATGGCTACTTAACTTTTTTCAACAGTGTTTGGTAGGGGACCTTGTCAAGGGCCTTTTCAAAACCTAAATAGATTACATCCACTGGTTTCCCTTTGTCCACGTTGCATATTTATCCTCTCAAAGAATGCTAGTCAATTAGTTAGGCATGATTAAGCCTAAGTGCTTTGTAAACTGTAAAACACTACACAAATGGTGGTTAATTTAATTTACAGGAAAAATGATGCCTTACTCCCAATAGGTTACACTCGTGTAACATGTTCAGCCATCCTTCCAGCCTGGCGCTCCCTCCATCCCCTTTGAAATGCTTCTCGTGGAGAGGAGACTCACTGGCAATCCGCCAGGCTCATGGCACAATAGCTATTTGGAACGACAAGCTCTACACTTTGGTCAGCTCTTACACAATTTTACCCCAAATCTGGGTGGATGCCATCTGGTTCTGGTGATTCATCGACATCCACTTAGTCAACCAGACTTGGAACACTCTGTGCGTTTACTGCCATCTCACTCAGAACTTCCAAAGTTTTCCTCCAAAACACAAATTGGGAATTTAGAAAAAATAAATAAAAATAAAAACAAGGCTCAGAGGAGGTTCAGACCCTCTTTTTATCTCCCTTTTGTCCCGGAACAGACCTTTTACCCTTGTACACCATGACCAACCAGCAGTCACCCTGGCTGGCTGCCCTGGCTCACTTCTTCCCTTGTTTTGCACTGGATGAAATGCAGGACACCTCTCTTCCCGTCTTTGCTTCGAACTCCCCTGTGTCCTAGGGCAGGCCCCTTTCCTTTTCTTAAAAGTCAGTTTCTAAAAAAAAAGAAAGAAAGAAAGAAAAAAAGTCAGTTTCTCCATTTGTGAAACAGAGACTACCCCATGCTCGTGGGCCCTGCTAGGGTGGGCAATCCGCAATCGTGTTCATCAATTTGGCTTGAGTCCCTGGCAGGGTGCCTATTGTAGTCTCGGGGATATCTTCTTTAGAGTTTTCTTCTTACCTTGTAGGTCCCCTGCTTTCTTACTTCACTTTTCTTGGTTATGTAAGATTGTGGCAATTCAATATCATCATCATCATCATCATCGTCGTCGTCGTCATCATCAACTCATCCATGCAAAGCATTTGGCACAGTGCCTGGCATCTAGGAAGCACTCAAAAAATGCTATCTACTCTTAAAATGATGGGTCTGTTGCTGCCTTTGCTGACCTCTGGGAGCTCAAAGAGCCTGCAGATGTAGCTTAGAATTAGCTTGTTTTATTAGTATGTTCGCTTCAGACCCATAAAAGGCAGTTAAAACCAGGTAGCCAATGTTCAGCAATATCCCCGATATGCCTTGCTATTCCAGGTGGAATCCGTGGTCTAGGAACATCTGTATCATCTGGGAGCCTGTTAGAATCGCAGACACTCAGGGCTCACCTCAAGACCCACCTAATCACAGGTCATGTTAATTAGAGCCCTGGGTGATTTGTTGGCAGCCCTTACCGCCTTCTTTTTGAGCACTTGCAGCATTTTGGTTTCATACCTGAAGCATCTAAGAAGCCACTAAGCTGGCCCACGGGGAGCTAAGTGTTGCAGGCAGTAGGAAAGAGGCCTAAGGCCCAGTCACCCACGTTGTAGGTTAGGACACTGGGATTCCAACTGTTTGCACGTTTCCTCCCAGTGGGACCTTGAGCGGGTCACATATTGCTCTGAGCCTCAGTTTGCCCAGCTGTAAGATAGGCCTGTGCATCCTTGCCAACCTCAGTGCATTGTGGAAATCAAAGATGCTGATGAGTGTGGAGGTGCTTTGCAACTTACTGAGCTCTACAGATATTTATAACAACCGGGAGACTGTTACTATGAATCCCCAGATCTCTGGAAGCTCTCTGGCTTTCTCAGCATCGCTAGCTTGGTATGTGTTTTCTGCAAAGATAGAACTGAGCCCATGAATTAGAAAAGGCTTTTGCACTGAGCACCATGTTCAGACTCCCTTCCAGAGACAGACCATCCGCGCTGGAGCTGGTGCAGTAAATGGACAGTCTTGTTGCTGGGCTGCCATCAGCCTGGTTCCCAGTTACTGGCCTTGTCAAAGCCCTTATTTATCATAAGCTGCTTGGGAAGCCGGCTGCTCCTAGCACTTTGGCCGGGGCTGATTCCTGAGAAGCTTTGCAAGCTCTGGCCAGGTGTCCCTAGCCAAGACATGATGACTAAGCATCTTAAGCATCTGGCCCCTCTCCGCCAAGTCCCCACTCTCACCCACATGGAAAACCACATGCACATGTGCATGTACTCTTGTAGGCACATGCATTTGTGCACATGCGTGCACGCACACACACACACAAACACACCTGCTCTTGAAAACAATCGAAACATGCTTATAAAGCAATCCAGCATGAAAGACCCATCTCAAAGGTCCCTGTCACCACTCCCTCACCCCCTTCCTCCCTGGGCTTGTTCTTGCTCCAGCTTTCACTAGTCCGTGGGTACAGCCAGAACATTCTGGAGAGCCTAATGTCTTTTGCACTGCAAGTCAGAGAAAGCAGATGATCTTGACTTAAGCTGGGTCAGAGACTGGCGGAAGTGATCACAGATGCCGTGGAAGCCTCGTTCTTGGGATGAGAGAAGTGGAAACAGGCCCGAGAAGATAAACACATTCCTAGTGGCTGCGCGGGAGTAGGGTAGCTCAAGCCGGTTGGTGGGGAGCTGAGGAGGAGGAGTCACAATCTCGGGCTCACATCTCAAGCCAGTATTAAAACCAAATGGATGTTTCTTAAGCGTTTAAACACATGTCTCTTGTGGAAGGGTTCACCCTCAAGAAACTTTCAGTTTGGCCGTGTCAGTGTGAGGACTAAAGAGACAAAATCTTGCACTTGTTCCCGGGCTGGGGGTCAGGGAGAAGGTGAAGTCCAGGCCCAGGCAGGTCCCTTTTGCCACTCGGTGCTGTCGCGTCCGGGCGTTGTGAGGGGAAGCAGCTGTCCGCTCTGTCCCACCAGTCACCTCCTCCCCGCGGTGCTGGAGCGAAGCCATTAAGACTCAACAGCTGTGGGCCCCATGAGTCTCTACACTCAACATTTCCTCCTTGCTGTTACTTTACAATCTGGAGGCAAAAAAAAAAAAAAAAAAAAAACCAGCCAGGACAAAACAAAGCAGAACCAAAAAAACAACATTTAGGAAATATTTTTTTCGGCCCATGATTTTCATTCATATTCTTAGCTCATCAATTCATATTCTGACTCGTAGCAAGCCTGTCCATGTAGGGGAGGTGAAGGACCCTTCGCCAGCTTACCTCTTCTGAGTCGTCAAGTCAGACCTTCATAATGCTGGCTGGCAGTCACCTTGTATGAGTAAATTCATTAACGACTTGGTTTGGTGAGAAGGATAAAACCAATGGAGGAACTGTGTGATGGGTTATTTCTCAGGGGTGACACCTGCAAGATTATAACATTTTAGACCAAATCATGTAGCCTGCAGAAGAATAAGTAGAAAGTTTGTAGAGGAATGAAATGTCCTGGGAGATTTTTTTTTTAATGGGAAGGTTGTTGAGTCCTGTTCAGAGATCAAAATACATGTGGATACAGGAATATATTTATATGACCCTATTGGTCACAAGTCCAGGAATAAAT